TTCAGAACAACAAACAAAAAATCATTTTGAGAAGTAGGGAAACAAAAAGGCTCACCCTGTGGTAAGCATCTGTGGTGTGGGCCTTTTGGTGGCCTCCCGCGGCCTGAGGGTTTGCTATGGAGGAGTTGGTTCTACTACTCTTCACGTCATCATGACATCATAACCAGAACTTAGAGATTTCAGAGGCTGCTTTATTGAAAAGGTGAAAGAAATTGAGTGTTTGATGAGCTGGATGTTTTGCCTTGCATCGTGGGGTGCTAAGACAGCTCCCCAGACACCCAGTGGCCCTGCCGCCCCGGTCAGAGTCCTGAATGGAGCCACAGAGCAGTTGCTTTGAAGCTGGCTTCTTTTTCTTCCCCTTCAAGCTTTGCTAAAATAGATGTTATCATAGGAAAAACATTCAAACAACCTTTCAATTGATCCTTTGACAACATATTATGTTTACAAAAATACTTGAAAAAGTCCTTCTTGTTCTTTTGTTTTCTGTTTAGAGAGCTATAGAAGCATCTGGTGGAAAGACCTGGTTGTGGCCTAACAACCCTGGTCGCTCATAGTGGTGTGCCCTTCCCCCGCTGAGCCCCTGCTCAGAGAGAGCTCCTGGCCTGCCTGTGGGGGGAGGGAGGGAGGGAGGGAGGGAGGAAAGAAAGGCTTTGCCAGCGGGGTCTGCTCCGCAGCCTGTTGCCACCCTCCCCACCAACACAGGCTGGGGCCGGCCTTGCAGTCCGGTCCCTGGGTGTGAGCCGCTGAGGCCCAGGATGTCTCCTCTGGGAAGCTCACTTCCACCCTTGTTCTGGACCTTCAGGAACAGGAAGCACAGGGGTCGGACATTTGACTCCAATCCAGGCACTGTGCGTCCTCGCTGGACGGTCAGGGCTGTGGCAGCACCTTCCTACAGAGAGGCTCCAGGAAGCCTGCGGCTGGCACGTCCGCGTGGGCCAGGCGGCCCTGGAGCCTGGCCCAAGGCCTTCTCAAGTCTTCCGACCGGTTCTGTTCTTATGGCTTCACCATAGCGAATGGTCTGCAGGGCGGCAGGTGCAGCTACCTCCATGACCTCCTCATGCTCCGGGCATCTGAAGCCACATGCTGTAGCCTGGCTGTGGTTCACAGTGGTGCTGCCAGAACCGACCAGCTGAAACGGAGGAAATGAATAGCTGCTTTTAACTTTGCAGCCGTTGCTGGTGAACTTCTAAAGTAGCCATCTGCTGAGGATAAAGCGACCACTAGCAATCTACTTCCTGCGCTGTCTTCACGTGCAGAACGCCCTGTGGTGGTCTTGCTAGCCGCAGTGGGGACAGGGCAGACAGGCATGGTGTCTGTCAGCTGCCCAAGTTGGTGTGGCTGTGCAGCCCGCAGATGCTGTTAGAAGTGACCACCTGGCCCTGGGGGAGGCGGGCCACATGGGGTCACCCCCACCATTTCCCCTCCCCCGTTCCTTATTCACCACAGAGCTGTGCCACACGGAAAACCCCACTGGAAGGGGCTCCAGTGACTCACCCCGATCCTAGCTACTCAGCACCTGAGATCTGAAGGCAGCCGAGGCAGAGAAGCCTGGCAGACCCCACCACCAAAATAACCAGCCAAACGCCAGGCTGGAAGTGTGGCTCAAGTGACAGAGCGCCAGGCAAGCAAACATGAGACCCTAAATTCAAACATCAGTACCAGAAGGGAAAATAATCTACCCATGGAAAGAAGTCAGGCCATAAGAAATAACAGCCCTGTGCACATTAGCACGGGGTATGGCTCAGTGATCAAGTGCTTGCCTCGCATGCATGAAGCCCTGGGTTCGATTCCTCAGTACCACATACACAGAAGAAGCCACAAGTGGCGCTGTGGCTCAAGTGGTTGAGCACTCACCTTGAGCTGAAGAGCTGAGGAACAGCGCCCAGGCCTAGAGTTCAAGCCCCATGACTGATAAAAGCAGAAGAAAGGAAAGTGTCTCTCCTCCTGTGGTACCGTTGAATTCGAGCGTGAGAGTGCCCCTTGCCTGTCACTGCCCCTCTGCTTAGAGAGACACCACCCAGCTCACCAGCTGCTTTGAGAGCCGCCGGCCCTTGAGAAGTGGTGACCTTGGCGCACCGATACCTGGGCGGGGTTGAGGGAGGCCGGTAAGGACCGTGGTGTTTTTCTGTCTAGGCTTTGTCTCGGATGACCTCGTTTCCTAAGACACTTAGGTACTATTCCAGAAAGTGCCACACTAAAGGTTTGAGCTCACTTGTGGTTAAATCTGACGCAAGGTGGGAAAAGTCTGCTCTCCCTGTTAAAGATGACTTACTGTGAATGACGTCACTGGGCCTGGCAGGGAGCTCACCTGCCTGGGCACAAGGCGCTGTTGCTCATTGAATCTCCTAGAGAGGGAAGCAGGCTGTGGCGGTTGGCACAGGCAGGCCTGCGCTCACTAAGGCTGGCTCTACTCAGGAGGGAGCTTGCACATATGGTTTTGCAGGGTGCTGCTTGTCTCTCACTCCCTGGGGAAAGCCATGTAATATGACTCCGGGGAGTGCGTGGCCTTCAGAGCACGCAGGTTGTGAAGGTGGTGAGCTGTGCATATGAGTTTGCTCCTGCTGCAGCAGCGCTGGCTCCTGAACTGATTGTCAGAAGCCCAGGGAGGGCGCTGCTGTGCCCCCTACCACCTCCCCCCCAGCTCACTGCACAGTGGGTTCACAGCGCCCCGGGGGTCTGCTGGTGACTGGTGTGTTCTCCCTTCAGGCGCTCCAGTGGGCTGGACAAAGTTTGCCTTCTCATGAGCAGAATTCAGATGCCCCTCATTAACTTCAAGCCTCATTGAAGTATCTTCTGGTATTCTGATTTGTTCATTTGCAAAGCAAACATGAAATGTTCTTTTGTCTTTTCTGCAGATGAAACATTTGGCCTACATTTGGGAGCAATAAACCCAGTGCCTTGAACTTCTTTGTTTCAGACCTGGGGCGGGGGGGCTGGGAAGGTGGCTCGGTGGGAGAGCACTTGCCTTGCATGCATGAAGCCCTGGGTTCCATGCCTCAGCAGCACATAAGCAGAAAAGGCCAGAAGGGGCACTGTGGCTCAAGTGGTAGAGTGCTAGACTTGAGCTGAAGAGCTGAGGGACAGTGCCCAGGCCCAGAGTTCAGGCCCCACTACCGACAAAAAAAAAAAAAAAGTAAGAAAAAAGAAAACAGACTTTCTGTGTGAAAGTCCCTTTCAGAGTCTTGTCAGGCTGGAGTGCGTTCACCATAGGGCAGGTCATTCGTCACAGGACAGGTACGTTCACCATAGGGCAGGTGTGTTCGCGTAGGACAGGTACGGTGCGTTTGCCCGGGCTAGAGGGCGGCTAGGAGCAGATGGGGTGGTGTGGCAGGTGCACAGGAGGAGGGGAGCAGGTGCGGGCTGCGGACTTCAGAGAGCACCCCTTTCAAACAGTGGTGCGCTCAGTGCCCTTCACCCTGGGCCCCCAACCCGGCCCAGTCACCAGCGTGGCACATTTATTAGAGTCCATGTGAGAGTGAAAACATGGTATTTGTCTTTGGAGCCTGACGCGTCTCACTCAACATGATGAACTGAAAATGATCCCATTCTTGTTTATGGCTGGGTGTGCTCCATTTATATGTGTACCACGTGTTCCACATCCACACCTCAGTTGCTGGGCATCCTGGCTGCTTTCCCAGCGTGGCCCTAAATCACGGGTATGCAGGTGTGTCTCGTAGGTGGATTCTGATGTGTGTCTGAGTGTGGCACGGTGGGCCTGTAAGGTGTCTGGCTTTTGTTGTGACTTCCGCAGCCGCTGCCCTGGCTCCCTTCCCACAATGGTGGAAAGGCTGCTTCCGGAGCACGCCGCCGCTTCTCCAAGCACAGCATCCCCTGTTCCCAGGCAGGTCACACGGGTTAAGAGGTTTCTGAAGAGCCCGTGTGCTGGTTAGGGCAGGACCCAGCATGGGTGAGCCTTCAGAGCTGGCAGGCAGTCCTGCTGCGCAGCCAGGGCGAGAAGACCACAGCGTCACTCACGAGGGTTTTCACTCACTGGTTGCAGGCTTCCCACCCGGAAATTCTGGTCCTCGGCATCCGGGCCTGGCCCCCTCGGCCCCAGGGTTTGGGGTCCTGAGGAGTTAGGGTGTTCACGACATTGTGTGTGATGGCATGGGACGGGGCCACGCTGGAGAGCCGAGGCCGGTGCCTCCGCCGGCCCAGGCCGTCAGCAGAGACGCTGCAGATGGTGCTGGGCTTTGGAAGGAGGCAACAGGCAGTGAGCGAGTGTTTCAGAACCGAGCAGCGTGTCTCAGGTGCCACAAGCCCCGCGTGGTGCCAGCTTGCACCTGTCCTGTGGTTCTCCCTGGGACCCACTGCCTCCCTGGCTGCAGGGGAGTTTTGAGGTGTGGGTGCAGCCTCCCCGTTCCCTGGGGTCTGGCGCATGTGTGGGGAAGATGGCAGGAGTAATGAGGAAGGAGGAGGGGCAGCACCGCCCCCAGGCCCTCGGCAGTGTTTCCACATGTGGTTGTAGGGATGACCTCTGGGGTGGGAAACGTCCCTACCCCACAGCCACAACCCACCCGTCTGAAGAACTCGTGGGAGACCGAGGCAGAGTATTAAGGCTGTCTGGTGGAACACAGTTCAAGACTGAATAGCAACCTGTCATTGGATTGATTTGGACACTTGGGCAGGACCTCAGGCACGATGGACTACACATTCTCCCGAGAGGGCACTGGAGGTGACTCGCTGACCCCCACTGAGTCTGCTGCCCCTTCTGGAACTAGAGGCAGCGCATTTCAGACTTCCTCTGGAGCTGGGCACCAAGGCCAAAGCCAGGGGATCCTGAGTCCAGGCCTCCAAAAACCAGTGACGATACCATCAGCACACAGCTTTGTTCACAGCCAGGGACAGCGAGGCCTGGCCAGCAAGGGCTAACAGGGCTCTCGTGGTGACAAGTTCTCTCTCTCTCTCTCTCTCTCTCTCTCTCTCTCTCCCCCTCTCCCCCTCTCCCCCCCCCTCTCCCCCTCTCCCCCTCTCCCCCCCCCCCTCTCTCCCTACCTCAGTTAGTGACAGGAGTGTGGGAAGGAAGATACAACTTCTTCTGCCAAGGCACCCGCAGTGCCGGTGAATCCGACATGAAGGTACGTCTCCTCCTTAAAAGGTGTCTATTGGAGTGGGGTTGGGTTTTGATTTTTGGTTTTAGAAAAGAAATTACATAAAAGACCAAATAGAACATAACCTCTCCACCCAGCTAGTCCCTGACAGAGTCTATCTATATTCATAAGATAGGAAAGTGTTATATAAGTATGAAAGAGGAAACAGGCTTCCCACTATGGGAAGCCAGGAGGCTGAGATCTGAGGATCACAGTTCAAAGCCAGCCCAGGCAGGAACACCTGTGAGACTCTTATTTCCAATGTACCACCAGAAAACTGGAAGTGGTGCTGTGGTTCAAGTGGCAGAGCGCTTGCCTTGAGCTGAAGAGCTCGGGGACAGCACCCAGGCCCAGAGTTCAGGCCCCATGAAAATAATAATTCCAGGGAATGTATTTATATAAATAAGACCATAAGAGCTTAAAGCACTCATGCACATGCCCCTTGAATGAATGTGTTAGAGGTGGAATCTGACCTCTGCTGAGAGGCCGGGGGTTCGGTTCACTGAGGGGAGCCTTGAGCTTGTCTGGGTTGGTGCTGGACTCTGACTGTCCTCTGACCCCGCCTGTGCTCCTAGATCATCCGTGTGCTCTGGTGGTACTACTTCTCCAAGCTCATAGAATTCATGGACACCTTCTTCTTCATCCTGCGCAAGAACAACCACCAGATCACCGTGCTGCACGTCTACCACCACGCCTCCATGCTCAACATCTGGTGGTTCGTGATGAACTGGGTCCCCTGTGGTCACTGTAAGTGTCGCTGTGGGCAGGGTGTGGGCACAAGGCTCTCCCAAGAGGTGCTGTTTCTGTGGCTTTCCAGGTTGAGCCCCATTTGCTTTGGTGGTACTGGTGTGGCCCACGTGTGGCCAGTGCCCAGCCTGATGGGGCCCAATGCAGGCCATGCGGCCTGGCCCATACTGAGAAATAGCAGTGACGCGCCAGGCGGCAGGCGTGGCTGGGGGTGAGGTGGTTCTAGCGGCACGTGCTGACCCGTCCTGCTGCTCCTCGCCCTGGTGGCGTGAGATATAAGGAGGATTATGATGCGCTCACGTCTCCAAGGTCAGGTCTGATGTTTGGATCTCTTATGGTTCAGAGTCTGATCGCTTTAGGTTCAGATTGACGTTTGAGCCGTGTCGCCACACTGAACAGTCCACTGAGAACCTTGGCTGTTTTCTTCCTGGGATGACTGATTTCACTCAGTCTGCCCAGGTCCACAGCCATGAGAGGATAGGGGAAAGTCCATCGGGTGTGAGGGGGGGTGGAGACCCTGGGGCGGTGGGTCTCCCTCCCCCCCTGCCCCGCACACGCCCCCCCCCCCCCCCCGCATGCACCCCCCGGTTCCCTCACTGGTCATGGCTGTGACTGCCCTGGCCAGAAGGAGGAGGCTCAGTCCATGAGTAGCCAAGACGGGTTCAGGGCCACTGGCAGCAATAGCAACTCCTGCAGCCTGTGTGTGAGCTGCATTCAGAAAGGCCAGCAGCCTGGCGGCTGTGTTTACTGGGGAGGGCAGAGAAGTGGTGCAAAGCTAGAGGTCCTCCTGAAATCCGTCACGGAGAGGTGGGCCGGACTCTGGGCTCTGTGATTAATAAAAGCCATGGTGTCAGTACTGCAGCTAGAGAGCACCAGAAGGCACTCTCCCAGTGCCCACACCGCACCCACTGCGGGAGCCAGGCGCCAGCTCCCAGCCCATCGCTGATGGCTGCCCCTGCCTTCAGACCAGCATCTCTGCCCCCCACACACACCCGCCGCCTTCAGACTAGCACATCCGGCAGCTGGGCGTGGAAGGCAAAGCCCTGGCTTGGGAGGTGGGACAGTCTGGGAGCCAAGGCCGAGGGTGCTGGAGTGGCCTGGTGAAGTGGTCCTTAGACAGCCACGCAGTGCACGCAGCAGGCAGGTTTGCATCGCTCTGGATTATCCCTCGCAGCAAACCCTAACACATCTTCCTCCCACGTCCTCGCCGTTGCCCAGCTTACTTCGGTGCCACGCTTAACAGCTTCATCCACGTGCTCATGTACTCGTACTACGGCCTGTCCTCCGTGCCCTCCATGCGCCCTTACCTCTGGTGGAAGAAGTACATCACGCAGGGGCAGCTGGTGAGTGTCTGGGGCTCCCGCCTTGGTGGGACCTGTGTCCCTCTGCATCAGCCCCCGCGGACGCCACGAGCTCCTGGCAGCAGGCAGCCATCAGTGGGGGCTATGCCTTGGGGTTGGCCTGGTGTCCCGGGCTTTGCTCCGAGCATGTCCACACATAGCACCTGAGTGTGCTGAGCCCGGATCCACACCCCTGTGTGTGCGTGTGTGCTCTGGCCACGAGTCCAGGATCCAGTGGGAGGCCGTGTCCCCAGCAGTGTTGGTGAGCAGTGAGGCTGGTGAGGGTGCTGCTGAGCCGGTGCCGGCAGCCCCGCCCCCCGTGGCTGGAGCACCTGCTGGTGAGCAGAGCTTGGTCGAGGTCTGCCGAGCCGGGCACAGGCCGGCGCTGGGGTCCGTCCCTCTTGTCGCCTCAGTGTCGGTAGACCTCAGGCTCCCGGGCTGTGACTGTAACAACAGCTGTGGACATTGAGCCAGTGTCCGCACTTGGTGGAGCAAGGGTTTTGCGTGGGTTGTTCAGGAGCCTGATTTCACACGCAGGTGGAACCTTGAGAAACAGCCCCCATCTGGCTGCTGGAGTGTGGCCAGAGGTCCTCCCCCCTCCCCCTTCTTCAAGGCCACATAGACAGTCCTTCCTGGTCAGTACTTGAAAATGACACTGCGAAAGCCTTCCGCATGAGGGTCGTGTCATTATTGCGTCTGCAGCCGCCGCAGGCGCAGCCCAGAGCGGAGCCACGCTCCTTCCCTCAGCGCTGACGCGCGGAGCTGAGCTCGGCCGCGTCCGCCTCTCCAGGTGCAGTTTGTGCTGACCATCATCCAGACGAGCTGCGGGGTGCTGTGGCGGTGCTCCTTCCCGCTTGGCTGGCTCTACTTCCAGATCGGGTACATGATCTCCCTGATTGCGCTCTTCACCAACTTCTACATCCAGGTAAATCACGCCCTTCCCTCTCCCCTGCGCCGGCCGGTGCTGCCGGGGAGAACACGACTCGAGGGGACGCAGAGCCGCGCTCTTGCTCTTGCTTTCTTCCTCCCCTGACCTGTGGCCCGGCTTCCGCCCTGCTGCCCTGCCCATGGCTCGCGTGTGACTTCGTCCTGTTCTCTCTCGTGTGCCTCGCGGCTCTGGCTGTGGAGATGGGCGTGTGCACACGGGCCGCGTGCGGGGTGCATGCAGAGGCCTGTCCCGGCAGCCTGGCTCGTGGCGGCACACCTGCGGGCTGTGCCTGTGGCCCTGGGGTGGCAGCGCCTTGTTGGCTAGCTGCCCACCGTGTGGGGGACACGGGACACTGGGTCCCGGGGAGCGCCCCAGTGTGCCCCTGGGCATCTTTTCTCCTTTTTTTTTTTTCTGCCAGTCCTGGGGATTGAACTCTGGGCCTGAGCATTGTCTCTGAGCTTCTTTTGCTCTAGCCAAGCACTCTACCACTGGAACCACAGCTTTCTTGAGTAGCTTATTGGAGGGAAGAGTCTCATGGACTTTGCTGTCCTGGCTGGCTTCAAACCGCTATCCTCAGATCTCAGCCTCCTGAGTAGCTGGGGTTGCAGGCATGAGCCACTGGCTCCCGGCATCACATTTGTATTCTGTGGGACTCACAAGCAGCCAGCCCACAGGGCCCTGTCCCCCTCCACATGGGCAGAGCAGAGTGGACAGACGGGAATATTCCTGAAGTGTTTGCAGTGGTCAGCTTGGCACGGCCCCTGTGGTGACGGAGAACTCAGGCTGCTGAAGCGAGTGCGCAAAGCCAGACACTCCTTGGCCCCGGAGCCCTGCTGCTGTTCTGTTTTTTTGTTTTGGGTTTTTTTGGTCCGGTCGTGGGACCTGAACTCTGGGCCTGGGCGCTGTCCCTCAGCTCTTCAGCTCAAGGCTAGCGCTCTACCACTTGAGCCACAGTGCCACTTCCGGCTTTTTTCTTTTTGCTTATGTGGTGCTGAGGAATCGAACCCAGGGCCTCATGCATGCAAGGCAAGCGCTCTACCAGTGAGCCACCTTCCCAGCCCCTGCTGTTTTGTTTTTGTTAGTTGTGGGGCTTGAGCTCTGGGCCTGGGTGCTGTCCCTCAGCTCTTCAGCTCAGGTGAGCACTGCTGCTTGAGCCACAGTTCTGCTTCCCCAGCTTCTTGATAGTTATTGATCTAAAGGGGTAGGTCTGGCTAGGGCTGTGCTCACCATTCAGTGCTCCGGTCCTCTGGGGACGGGTGGCTGGAGCCCCTGTGGTTCACCTGTTCTTGTGCATTTCAGACTTACAACAAGAAGGGGGCCTCTCGGAGGAAAGACTACCTGAAAGACCACCAGAACGGGTCCGTGACTGCTGTGAACGGGCACGCCAGCAGCTTCTCCCCCCTAGACAGCAGTGCCAAGCCCCGGAAGCTGCGGAAGGATTGAAGCGGCCACGCCCACAGCCAGACACACGTGTGACTGTAAGCACAGTAGAGTCGCGCCCTGACACCCGCTGACAGCGACAGCCACTGCGACTTGGGCCTGCAGTAGTCGATTCGTGTAGGACCTTTTTCATCCATTCCAAACCCCTAGAGTTCCTCTGCAGATTACACAAGTAGGCATCAGATCCCGCACATTTCCAGGACCTCACTGACCCCGCCCGCCCGCCCGCACTAGACTGTGGAAGGGAATTACTGTAGTGTATGACACTGCTGTTGCCTTATTAGTTATAACATGATAGGTGCTGAATTGTGGTTCACAATTTAAAAACACTGTAATCCAAACTTTTTTTTTTAAACTGTTGATCATGCATGTGATTGTAAATGTAAATTTGTATAATGTCCTTACAGTAGAGAAACACACATGCCTTACAATTTAAAAAGCAGGGCCCAAAGCTTACTAGTTCCAATTAGGATAGGTTTCAAGTTTGTATTCATTTGTAATAGCTCTGTTCAGAAAAAAAGAAATCACAGACCGTGACGGTAGGAAGCCGGTGTGCGCCAGTAACTCTGGTTTCTTGTGGATGTGTCAGCAGGAACGGCGCCTTCAGTTTTGTGATCCGAGCTTTCAGTCAAGCAGGCTCAACCTTGGTGGAACAGTTGGTTTAACTTTTTAACAGATGTTATTTTTTTATTTTGAGTGCCACTATTGATAATGCAAGAGAGCGGGGAAGGGCGCTGCGGAGCCGTCTCGATGAACCTTAAATATAGAGTCTTTGTCCTCAAGATCCTAGAACGCGTGTAGGGCAAGCAGGCCATTTTTAATTTCTGAAGCACTGAGTGTTTTTAATGCAGGGAACAAAAATCCACGTTTGCTTTGCGGTGCGGGAGAGGAGGTGACCTTCCCAGGACCAGGGCGCATTTCTGGTTTGGCAGACGCCGCAGGTGAGCGGAGGGAGCTTGAAGGCCAGACTCCACATCTGCAATCGTGTCTGTACCGGTCTGACCCAGACTGCCTTTGCAATGTGCCTGGTCCCCTAAAAATTGATTAATAAGGGAGGGAAAAGAACCTTTAAAAACATGGGGTCAAATTAAGCAGATAGGAGCAGCATACGCACAGCTGATTGGACAGCAATTTCTCGTTGAGCATAAATCTGCCATCTCCACCACTTCTTCCGCTTACGATCTGAAGATTCGTGGGACCACTTGTTCAAACATTGTGACCGCTGGTCATAAAGACCATTGTGTGCGCTGTTAACGTGCTGACCGCCCTGTCCCTTCTGCATTGGAAACAGCTCATTGAACCACTTGCGACGCATAGAGATGGTCATTGACAACATATAAACTAACTGTGGGTTTGATGTTGATGTAACTGTGAGTTTACGTGCTTTCATTTTGCACATTGCTGCCCGGGGAGCTGCGGCTCGGTGAGTGTGAGGTTTTCTGCGGGAGGGGTCGGGCGTCTGCTTCCATCTGCCAGAGCGCGTCCCGTTGTCCAGTTGTGAGTGTGGCTTCAGTCGTGGGCACTCAGCTTGAGATGTCTTTGCCCCGGTGCAGGGACTCCAACGCCCACTGGTGTGCTGCGAAGTGTGCTAGCTCGTCTGGAGACACACACTGTTACGTGATGTCTGAACGTTAATCATTAAAACACTTTTGATTACCAGTGCTTGTGCTGGATGTCGTTGCTGAGCTGCCAGCGCCGAAGGGCAGGAGGATGGGAGGTCCGGCCCGTCAGTCCCTAAGGCCCCTTCCACCCACCACTTCAGGCTTCCGGCCCAGGTCCCGGCCCAGAGAGCTCTCCTCCTCCCTCCTGAGGGTCCCCATCACACGCTGTTCCTTTCCTGGGTCTAGACTTCACACCTGCACGTTTTCCTGTTGGGGCCAGATGGGAACCCATGGGGGCTTGGTGAGCCTTGTGTCCTCCAGTGAAAGCAGTCAGCCATGCCGCTGGGCAGTACGCAGACGGTGGCGTCTGCATAGGCCAGGACGAAAGCCTGTGGCCCCAGGTTACCAACCTCTGCTCGGAGGAGGAGCCCCTCCCAGCTCCCGGAGCTCCAGAGCTCTTCTGTGTGAGACCCTGGACCCCCGTTTCCCCTGTCCAATGGAACCCGCCGCCAGCGCCTGCCTGCAGAGGGCCGGGCAGCTCTGTAAGTCCACAGAAGATGGAAAAAGAGTAAGAATTCAGAGCAACAGGAGAGAAATCGCCTCTCTCCCCCACTGGAGCGAGTGGGCAGCAGGGCCACGCTGTCCCTGCACTGGCCCGTGCGCTCTCCCTCCTGGGCAGCAGCCTGGCCACTCACCGGGCAGGCCGGGGAGAGTCGCGTGGGATGCGTGGTTTGGGGGCACACGTGGCTGCTGGATTTTGGTCTTGAGCTGAGCGTGTAGCTCAGTGCTGGAGCTCTTGCCTGGTGTGTAAGAGGGGCCGAGTTTGATTCTCCGCAGGGAAGAAGAGAAGGCAATCTCGTTCAGCTCTAAGCTGCTGCTCTTGTATTTTCCCAGCTGGCGCTCTAGCAGGCCTGTCCGCATGGGAGGGAGTCATCTGGTTTGGTGCTCTGAACCAGACTTGGAGTCCAAGTGTTCACCGACCGTCCGCAGCCCTGATGTTCCTGGTCCCGAACCATTCAGTCCGCCATTCTGGAATTCCTGGGGTCTGCTGCCCTTTGGAAAGGGTAGCCTTCAGTTCGGTTTTCCCCAGGGTTCTGGCTGCAGTACCAGGGCTCCACAGCTTGTTTCAGAGCCCGAGGTGGCTTCCCAGGGGACTCGCGAGCACGCCCCTGCCTGCCTCCCCACGGCTCACGCTTCCAGTCCCAACCAGATCGTTCTGATCCGGAGAAGATTGTTCTCCCAGGGGAATTAGGAGCGTTGTACCACCACCCACTGCGCTTGCTCCAAACATGGGTCTAACACCCGTGTTCCTTGTCCTCATGAGTCTTGTGCACGGTGTATGAATGAGTGGCACAGAGTAGTGGGTGTTGGAAGGAGCCCTCCCCTGTGTCATTTCTCGGGCCTGTCTCCCATTTCCGCGGGGTTTGTGACTCCCGCCTGCAGGGGGCAGGTTTCCTGGCCGTGGGTACCGTGGTCCCTGCTGCGTCTGGACCTGGCTCCATGCAAAGCCTGCCCGGGGCCGCTGAGAACAGACCGTGTCGTGTGGTGGTGGCAGATGTGCGGTGTTTTCCCAAGTTGCTAGTTAACAGGAAGGAGGTGTATCCACACGGACTGATGCTACATCAGATTTCAAATTCTGTTGCTTAGCATGACTTGGTTCCATCCACCGTCCTTAGGCGAAGGTCGGTTAATACAAACATACAATAAGGGAACTCTGATTTCTCACATACACAAAAATAGTGATTTAGATATCTTGATTCTGTGGGTCACAAAATATTAAGAGAATTTTCTATTAGAGTGCATGGTCACTCTAAAGCCCTTGTACTAACTAACACGTGATTCTGACAAAACCCAACTTGGCTATGAGGTGGTGCATCTGTAAGTGAAAGGTGTTTTGAGGAAGGATCTTCCTTCCTAACCTGGGCTGACCTTGAACTCAGAACCTCACACCACCTGCATGCTGCAGTTACACACACACACACACACACAGGTGCCAGGCAGCAATTTTTTTTGCCTTCTCCCACCCCTGCTTCCCCAGTGCTGAGGGTTGACGGGCCGGGTCTGGACGAGGCCAGTAAACAACCTACCACTTCAGCCACACTCCAGCACCTGGGTTTTGTGTTTGTTTTGAGCTAGTATTCCTGGAGTTCCTGGGCTGGGTTCCTATCTTCTGGCCTTTGCCTCTCCCAAGATTACAGCCATCCCCAGCCACTCCCAGCTACTGTTCAAATGAATAAAACTCTGAAGTGTTTAACTTGGTGCCTGGGGGGAAAACAGCCTTTTTGGCCAATTACATTTGCATTTCCATGCCTTCCTCACCTGGGGCGTGTGACCTTGTCAGCTGTCTAACCTGCCGTTCAGCAAGGGTCTCTGGGATTGAAGATGGAAAGTGAAGATGGGTCACACCTTCTCCAAGTCCACCCCGCCACCCCGAGACTGGCGGGCAGCCCACTGACTGCGTGTTTCCAGTCCACCTCAGACACCAGTGGGGCCGACACCTGAAGTGTCAGAGCTCCTCGCGGGCCAGGATGAGAGGTTGTACCCAGAAGTCACAGCTACATGCTTCTGTTACTAGGAAACAATGTGATCATCGCTGGGGTCAGGACCAGTGAGAGGCTACAGAGTGAGTGAGATCACTTCCCCGGGCTCCTGCTACCCTCTGCTTCGGGCCTTCTAGTGAAGTGATTCTCCGATTCTCCACGTGCTTGGCCTACACAGCCTCCTGGGGCTGGCCCCGACCCCTCAGAGCTGCCGCCGCCTCCCTCCCCTGCGCCCCTCACCCACTGTCCAGCCATGGCGCTGGCTGCTGGTCCAGGAGAACCACATCGGTCTTCAGGAACTTTGTCCTGCTGGCCCTGCCCCTGTACTTGAAGGTCAGTGTCCTGAGAAACCAGGAGGCTAGGGTTGGGAGCATTGTGGTTCAAGGCAGAAAAGCCTGCAAGAAGCTGAGCATGGTGTATGCCCTGTCATGCCAGCTACCAAGGAAGTGAGAAATAGGGTTACAGTCCAGGCATTGGCCCCAGGGGGAAAAGTGAGACTATCTCAAAATAGGTAGCGCAAAACATGCTGGAGGCCTGGCTCAGCTGTAGAGTGCCTGTCTAGGCCTAGAATTCATATATGCGTGTATATGTGTGTATATATGTGTGTGTGCATATGTATGTATCATGTATAATGCAGTATGTAGCAGCAATTAATTATATCTGGGTGAGAAGATAAGGGACTATTATTTCACCTTCGTAAACTTTCTCGTGGTTTCTGCCATGATGTACTAGAGTATCTTGATCTGTGGGAAGTGAATCAATGCTTCCGAAATGAACACTTGTCCGAGAATGAGAGGTCCAAGAGGTCTGTCCCTGTGGCCACTGCCCTTGGTTCCTAGAGCACGGCCTCCTAGCGGATTCTCCAGCTGAGCATGGCCGCTGAGCGGATGATGGCTGGTGCCTTAGAGCAGCACACAGCCCAGCACCGCGTTGTGGCCCTGCCACTTCCTGCTCCTGGAGCTCAGAGCCCATGTCCCGATCATTAAAGCTCTGAGCGGCCCTCTTCTGAGAACTCACAAAATGATGACTCAGAAAAATACAGAACAAGAAAGCAAAGGGTGGCCAAGGCAAGGGAGGGCCACGCTCCGGAATGCAGGCAAGACTTCTTTGGGGGAAAGTCTTACACTGAAAGGCCAGAGAGGCTGGATCAAAAGCCAAATCCTGAGCTTGACGCTGGTGGCTCCCGCCTGTCATCCTAGCTACTCAGGAGGCTGAGATCTGAGGATGGCGGTTCAAAACCAGCCCAGGGAAGGAAAGTCTGTAAGATTCTTATCTCCAATAAAAGCCACCAGAAAACCAGAAGTGGTGCTGTGGCTCAAGTGGTAGAGCGCTAGCCTTGAGCTGAAGAGCTGAAAGACAGCAGCAGCACCCAAGCCCAGAGTTCAAGTCCCACGACTGACCCCGCCCTCCAAAAAAAAAAAAATGTTAAATCCCTGTGAGGAGCAGCAGCTGGCTTCAGCCACCGCGGCGGCACAGAAGTCCTCCAGGGCCTGAGGCTGGGGTGCAAGTCTGCACAGCTCAAATGTGGGAGTCTGGGCCTTAGCTGCTTGCTTTGTCTGCTGTGCCCTCTGGAAGGGTCTGTTCCCACAGCCTGGCCCCAAAGGAACTTCTTCCTGGAGGGCTTCCCGCTCACCTGGCTCTGCCATGGGAGGCGCAGGCTTCAGCTCTGCCACCAGCGCTGCCAGCCTCCAGGCAAGCCACAGGCCCGGCACCGGCAGCGTTCTGTCCTGCTCTGTCCCCAGCCTCCCTCACCTGCGCTGCATGCTTCTCCGTGACTTGTACAAAACTTGTTTGAGCAATCATTCACCCACTAGTAGGATTTATGGTGAGCTCCTTTCTTGGGTTTTGGTGACCAGTGCTGGTAAAGTGAGATTCAATGAGGAAGAGAGGGACCGGAGAGGAGGAGAGTCCGCTGATTTGGAGCGATGCCACTCACCAGCCGTGATAGCCAGCCCAGGCGGCTTTGGGACGCGCAGGACCGCTGGAGTGCGTGCGGAGATGAATACCTGGCAGTGCCGGAAGGTGGAAGGCTGGGGAGGGGCTGGAGTGGCCGCGCACCTGCGCATTGTGTTTATTTATATGTTATACATGAGTGTGTGCGTGTGTGTAATACAGCACCAGCTCTTCTGCCTGCTCTACTTGCTCAGAGTACATGATAGCCATGATATTATTTGTTCATGGTGAGCCAGGCTTACCAGCCCAGAGAAATTTCAGACAGACACCCTGTTTCTTTAGTCCCAGCTATTTCTTTGATACCTAAGCATATTAAATACAATTCCATATGGGTAGAAGGATGCTGGATGGGTGAAGGTATAGAGGGTCTAATTGTGGATGGATGGGTGGATGGGTGGTTGGGTGAATGGGTGGGTGGGTAAGTGGATGGATGGATGGATGGTAGATGGTGGGTATGCGTGGATGGATGGGTGGGTGGGTGAATGGGTGGGTGGGTAAGTGGATGGATGGATGGATGGTAGATGGTGGGTATGTGTGGACGGATGGGTGGGTGGGTGAATGGGGG